CCGGGCCCCGGCGCCCGGGAACCACGCTGCGCCCCCTTTTGGCCCACCCTCCCGGAGCTCCCGCGCGGGCGGCGGCTTTTGTTCCTGGGAAGGGCGGAGCTGCGCCCCGGGGAGACACCAGTTGCTGCCGGCCGCGCGGTCGCTCGCCGCCCGCGAGCCCGCTCAAGCGCCTCGCAGCCGAGGTCAGGCGGGAAGGAGTCCAGGCTGGAGCGGCCCGGCCTCCCCAGCGGGCCCGGCAGCCGGCGCGGCAGCTTTGCTGGTGCGCCGGCCGAGGTCCAGGACAAGCCGGGGCCGCTTGTCCTTTGGAAAAACCTTGGCGCTTCTTCCTCTCGCGTTCGTGGACCCCGCTGTGCACTCTCCGGGCCGCCGACCTTCGCCACCTGTTACGTCCGCTTCCCAAGGCAGCCCCCACCCCACAGTCCGCGCCTCCTCCTTGAGGACGGAGCGCAGGGAGCAAGCGAGCGCCAGAGTCCCCAGGGCCGAGGCCCGGGCAGCGGATGCTCCTGGTGCCTTGTGCGGGCTCTGAGCATACCTGACTGCTCGACCTGAGCCTATGGGGAAAACCATAGCGAGAAGCTGCAGCAGTCCCATTCCCGATTGTTCTGTCCGGGGTGGGGGTGGGGTGGGTGGGGCTTGAGGGGCTTTCTATGGAAGGCCCCCAGCCCCACTGTGGCCCCAGCTGCATCTCTCACACAGCTAAGACCAGCCCTTGCAAGGCCAGGGGTCCCATGTGGGCTTCCTCAGGGCCTGCCCACCCCTTCCCAGGGTAGCAATGCTGGCTGAGCAGGGCTTGGGCGCTCAGCCTGGCCTCTGATATAATGTGTTTCACTGGAAGCTGAAAGTGGGGGTTAACAGTGCGTCTGGGGTGTATCTGGTCCACGAGCCTCTGTGAGGAAAATGCCTAATGTGCACTTCTTTACACAGGCTGGACCACACACACATCTTCTGGGCCTTTAGCTCACCGAGGCCTCCCCCAACCCCCAGGGCATGGGAATGGGAGCATCCTGTCCCTCCACTTGCCAGCTGCCTTGGGGTAATTGGGTGGAGAGAGTTTATCGCCTGCAGATCTGGTGCCCTGGATTTGCCCCCCACCCTGCTCCTGGCACCCTGTACAATATTCACTCATTTGTAGGCCTCTGGAGAGCCCCTGCTAGAACCCAGGTCACCCCTTTGGCTGCCCTGGATCCAAAGCAACCCCCAGAAGACAGGGTGGGGAATTTGTCCCCATTATTAGCATCTTGGCTGCTTTGCCAGGGGAGTGAGCAGGATGGACAGAGCTTCTGCCTGAGAGTCAGGGCACCTTCCTGCGGCCACAAAGAGCCTTCTGAATGACACATGGTCAAGAGGGGAGAGGACTGGTCATTTCTATTGGCTGAGTCCACAGGTGAGGAGGGATCCAGGAAGCCCAAAGCTTAGGCCAGCAGCCCCACCTCCAATCCATCAGTCCAGCAGAGGCAATCAGAGAGTGGGGCGAAGGAGGGCAGTGCTGGGTCCCTGGGCTCAGCACACAGGTGTCTCTGCCAGGAGCAGGGATGCAGAGGGCCAGCAGCATCAAGCAGCCCTGGGCACAGCGTTGACAGCTAGACAGGAGCTGACCACACCCATATTACCAGGATACACGCTGAAGAAATGCTGAAAAGAGCAGGCAGCATGGGCTGAGCCTCACCCTTTCAGGGCAGCTGACCCTAGGCTCAGATCCCAGATGTTGCTAGAATCAAAGAAATCTCAGCTTCTGTGGGTGAAAGAATAGGGCAAGTAGCAGACCACCCTCCACCAACCACCCCAGGCAGTGGTGCCTCCTTTGGACTATGACAGCCACATCCCTAGAATAAGCCTAAATGATTCAAGCCAGATGGTTCATTACGGCTTTAGCCAGGGTTATGCTATTTGCTGCCCTAATTATTGGATTATCTCTGTTCTGACGAAAGAAATTAGGGCGGTTGCTCTATGGTCCAAGCGGAGAATAAAGTGCTGTATGTTTTCCCCTCTGAAGCCTGGCCCTCGTCAGTCACCTGGGAGCATTGACACACAGTCCCCGGGTTCCCAGCAGTCCCACACAGGGACTGGGCTGGAACCTCCCCCTCCCCCCAATGTCCCACACTGTGCCACCCTCCAGCCATGTGCCCTAGCTGCCCTGCCTGGTTCCCACCTGCAGAAGGATTGCTGTTCTGTTTGTCAGCATTGTAGCAGGATGCCTTGGGCTGCAGATGATAGAAAACCAACTCATGACAGGAAAGGCCTTGCAGTGCCAGGGTGTATTCCTGCAGCAGCTTCTCAGAACCCTCAGTGGCAAGGCCTCTGCCCATTAAGCGAGCTCTTTTCCTCCCAGGCAGCAAACCAGAATAGATTTCCCATTCCCACATGTGTAGGTAAGCATGTCCAGGTGCAAACCAAGGAGGTTGTCTGTTGCCATCAGCCAGTCAGGCTCCTCATGGTTTAAGGTGGCTGCTGCGGGTCCAGGCATCACATATACTGGTAATAATAAGGCCCTGGATTTGATAAGGACCAATTTTCTATCCCATGTCTCAGTTTAAGGTCAGGGAAACCTCACCCGGAGACTGCCAGAAGACCTGTCCTTTGGTCTCACTGTTCAGAATGACATCACATGAGGCCTTTGCCCAGCTCCCCTGAGACTGATGACCATGCAGGTCTGGAGCAAGGGTGAGGTAGGAGAGTCACTGTTGGTTCTGCCCCCCACACGCACAGGTTCTCCCTGACTGGGGGTAGATTGCAGGGGGGTTTTCTGGAAGTGACTCCCCTTCCACAGAGCCCAGAGCCACTTTGGGGGCATGGTCTTGTTTTGCCAGCTGTGCTGCTCTTTTTACCCACTCAATATCATGCCAACGATGTATCAGACGCTGTGCTCAGTACAAAGACTTGAGCAGTTTGGAGTACAACTTTTGACCTCAGGGCGTCAAAGGAAACCAAGACAAAGGAGTAGCCCAGCAGTGAGGGACAGGGAGGAAGGAGGCCCCAACAGGCAGCTCTGGCTTCTCAGTGGGTACTCACCAAGAGGCCTTATTCTGAAGCCAGGAGGCAGGAAGAAGCAGGCTGTAGCAGGGTGTGGTGTTGGCCCACACCTGTAATCCCAGCACTCA